AAACCGCAACTGTACTGGGAACCGAGGTTCCTGTGCGCGCTGCGTTTTCAGAAATGCAGGGACTCCTTCCCTGCATGTCCCGGGGCATGGGACATTCAAATGAATGAGCTCCCGTGCCCAAGCAAAACGCGGACCGCAGGAACGCACATATGTGAACCAGGGCTTACAGCACAGATAGACAAATCCCTCCTGTGGCTATTGTATTCTGACCAGGGGCGGACTGACCATTTGGAAACTTGGGCACTGCCCGAGGGCCCGGGGTCAGTAGGGGGCCCCATGAGATGCCCCTGGTACCTTTTTCATAGGCTTTTTTGAGTTTGGGCAAGGACACAGGGGCCCCATGATCCTCTATTGCCCGGGGGCCCCATGAGTTGTCAGTCTGCCCCTGATTCTGACAGCCTCTGCCAACATCTGTTAGAATACTGGAACAGTGACTGCATCTGATTGTATGCAATCGCTATTCTCCCAACAATTTATCGCTCAGCTGATTTGATTTTTCAAAGGATATGGGGCAGGTGGGAGCCGAAAGAGCCACCCAGATAGCAAATTCCTCCCAGTTAATCAGGAACCAGCTGAAATTCCCACAGTGGGATGAACACTGGCCAATGTGTTAGAAATGGAGATCTCATGTAGGCTGTACTGAAACTAGCTGGGGGGGTCTAAGATGACTGAAAGTGTCTCATGGCTAGCCAGGAGGCTGAAAGTTTTGTTGTGTATTATAAAGTCCTGACACAGACCACCTTGTGAGGAAAACTCTTTTGCTTTGTGTTTGATGCAACAGTGACCACTAAACATGGGCAGGATGCACTTAAATGCATTTGGCATCCAGAATACCTCTCTCTGAGCTCTATGTTCGAAGCTGACACCTACAAAAGGGCTTGTGTCAGGCAGAATATACAATTTAATTTGATTTGATTTTTTCGACAATACGTGTCAGAATAGTTTCCAGAGTGAACAAGGAATTCCCCAAAATGAACATTTTTAATTCTTTCTAATGGTAATTCCAGGCACAAAGTGAAACAAACGAACTACTAATGCATTCCAACTTGCTGCGTCTGTCTCAGTCCGAGTGTAGTCACTGGGACAGGAAGTGGAGGAGAATATTCCCAACATAGCTACACGCATCAGTAAAAACCTAGCAAAGGTTCAAAACTTTTCACATTCTAGCCAAAATGAAAAATGTGTTCTTATAACTGACCCTTACGCTAACCTAACTCCTAAACTAATTCATAACAATAAAAAATGTTTTCTTCTGCCTGCTTAGTTTCTTGCGGCATACAGATCCCTCCAACTAGCTTGTCCACAGCAGCTGATCAAGCGGCTCTATTTGTGAATCAATGCTTGCAGTGATTGGTCGGGACTCGGAAGGGGGTGTGGTCACCTTGAAGGTGATCGCGCTAGCCTGTCGTTTGGTGCAGGTGTGACAGGCTCAGTCAGACTGAAGACACTGTACACGGAGTCATCCCCTCTCCAGTAGGTACTGGGGGAGGGAAGTGACCAGAGGAATCTGGGCCAGGGACAGTCAGGATCTCTCTAGAGGGCACAGGCAGTGAGTCCCTGTCAGTGATCAGAGTGGAGGAGTCTCTGCACAACTGTCCTACACACAGAAGAGGAAGGAGGGAAGGTGGATCATACTTAACAGGTCACTGTGTACACAATGCAACATCACCCCTTCCATAGAGATGTGAGGGGGGGTTGGTCACCAGAGCCCCCCCTCACAGTGCAAGGGGACCGCTGACATGAGAGGGATCACCGGGGACCCTTATGTTAAGGGGAACGCTGCTGGCTGTGATGTAAGGGGGGGCGCTTTGGTGACCAGAGATCACGTTACATCTGAGTTCCCATTTACATCATGGTCCACAGTGTCCCCCTTACATCAGAGTTCTCCGTTACATCAGGGTCTGGAGAGGTCCCCTTGCACTATGGGGGGGGGCTCTGGTAACCACAGCCCCCCCCCCCCTCACATCTCGGTGGAAGGTGGTGATGTTGCATTGTGTACATAGTGACCTGTTAAGTGTGATCTCCCTTCCTCCTTGAGCTATATGGGGGAATCCTGCAGATTCTGATGTAAAGGGGAACTCTGGGGACTCATAGGCTTATTTGAGTTTGGGCAAGGACACAGTGGCCCCATGATCCCCTATTGCCCGGGGGCCCCATGAGTTGTCAGTCCGCCCCTGATTCTGACAGCCTCTGCCAACATCTGTTAGAATACTGGAACAGTGACTGCATCTGATTGTATACAATCGCTATTCTCCCAACAATTTATCACTCAGCTGATTTGATTTTTCAAAGGATATGGGGCAGGTGGGAGCTGAAAGAGCCATCCACATAGCAAATTCCTCCCAGTTAATCAGGAACCAGCTGAAATTCCCACAGTGGGATGAACACTGGCCAATGTGTTAGAAATGGAGATCTCATGTAGGCTGTACTGAAACTAGCTGGGGGGTCTAAGATGACTGAAAGTGTCTCATAGCTAGCCAGGAGGCTGAAAGTTTCGTTGTGTATTATAAAGTCCTGACACAGACCACCTTGTGAGGAAAACTCTTTTGCTTTGTGTTTGATGCAACAGTGACCACTAAACATGGGCAGGAATGCACTTAAATGCATTTGGCATCTAGAACCTCTCTCTGAGCTCTATGTTCGAAGCTGACACCTACAAAAGGGCTTGTGTCAGGCAGAATATACAATTTAATTTGATTTGATTTTTTTCGACAATACATGTCAGAATAGTTTCCAGAGTGAACAAGGAATTCCCCAAAATGAACATTTTTAATTCTTTCTAATGGTAATTCCAGGCACAAAGTGAAACAAACGAACTACTAATGCATTCCAACTTGCTGCGTCTGTCTCAGTCCGAGTGTAGTCACTGGGACAGGAAGTGGAGGAGAATATTCCCAACATAGCTACACGCCTCAGTAAAAACCTAGCAAAGGTTCGAAACTTTTCACATTCTAGCCAAAATGAAAAATGTGTTCTTATAACTGACCCTTACGCTAACCTAACTCCTAAACTAATTCATAACAATAAAAATGTTTTCTTCTGCCTGCTTAGTTTCTTGCGGCATACAGATCCCTCCAACTAGCTTGTCCACAGCAGCTGATCAAGCGGCTCTATTTGTGAATCAATGCTTGCAGTGATTGGGTGGGACTCGGGAGGGGGTGTGGTCACCTTGAAGGTGATCGCGCTAGCCTGTCGTTTGGTGCAGGTGTGACAGGCTCAGTCAGACTGAAGACACTGTACATGGAGTCATCCCCTCTCCAGTAGGTACTGGGGGAGGGAAGTGACCAGAGGAATCTGGGCCAGGGACAGTCAGGATCTCTCTAGAGGGTACAGGCAGTGAGTCCCTGTCAGTGATCAGAGTGGAGGAGTCTCTGCACAACTGTCCTACACACAGAAGAGGAAGGAGGGAAGGTGGATCATACTTAACAGGTCACTGTGTACACAATGCAACATCACCCCTTCCATAGAGATGTGAGGGGGGGTTGGTCACCAGAGCCCCTTCCATAGAGATGTGAGGGGGGGGTTGGTCACCAGAGCACCCCCTCACAGTGCAAGGGGACCGCTGACATGAGAGGGATCACCAGGGACCCTTATGTTAAGGGGAACGCTGCTGGCTGTGATGTAAGGGGGGGGGGCTTTGGTGACCAGAGACCACCTTACATCTGAGTCCCCCTTTACAACATGGTCCACAGTGTCCCCCTTACATCAGAGTTGTCTTTTACATCAGGGTCTAGAGAGGTCCTCTTGCACTATGAGGGGGGGGGGCTCTGGTAAACCACAGCCACCCCCCCTCACATCTCTGTGGAAGGTGGTATCGTTGCATTGTGTACATAGTGACCTGTTAAGTGTGATCTACCTTCCTCCTTGAGCTATAGGGGGGAATCCTGCAGTTTCTGATGTAAAGGGTAACTCTGGGGACTCGTGTGTGTGTGTGTGTGTGTGTGTGTGTGTGTGTGTGTGTGTGGGGGGGGGGGGGGCTCTGGTGACCAGAGACCCCCTTACATCAGTGTTCCCCTTTACATCACAGCCCGCAGCATTCCCCGTTACACATATAAAAATATTTACATAAAAAAATTTTAGCAAGAAAAAGAGTTGGCCTTGCTGTCTATTTTGGGGGGGAGGGGGGCGCTTCAGAATTCTCTTCCTATAGGCTCCTGAGATGTAAATTCAGCCCTGTCTGGAAGCTTTATTCAGGTAAATAAATAACTTTCAAAGTTTACAACTATTGGGTCACTTTGGTTTGTTGTGGCAAAATGGGTAATTATATACCTTCTGCATGCTTCTACTACCCAGATTTTTGCTTCAACTGTTTCTGCTTTTGTTTGTCCTCAAACCGTTTTGTTACACAGGGTGAAACTAACCTTAAGTCACTACGTCAGGGTAAAGTACCTGCTAAACAATTCTGTTCTAATTTCCACCATTGAACACCTGACTCAGGGGGGAATGGCCCAGCTCTATCAAACTCCATCAGGGACTCCTTAGTAAACTACCTTGAACCAAAGTTGATGAATGAAGCCATGCAAGTCACCATTCGTATAGATAGGCATTTACAGAGAAAAAAAAACATACTGAGAGGGTTGTTTCTTTGCCCCCTAGTATGCTTCCCACTTCTTCATCAGGCCTTTATGATCCTCCTCAACCTCCCCAGTAGGAGGAGCCCATGCAAATTAGCACTACTCATTTATCCTCTGGGAAAAAAGGCTAGAATACGATACCAGCGACGCTGCTTATACTGTAGCAACCAAGGCCACTTTGTCCCCAGCTGCTCCAATCAGCCAGGAAATGCCTAGAGTCTAGTGTGGGTGGGGGTCTGTTTCTTTAGACTATAATGTGCCAGGTTTCCCTGGAGATAAAACATTTGTTCCTGCACTGCCACGTTCTCTCATCACCTCTCAGCTTTCATAGATTCTGGTGCTGCTAGCATTTAATTGATAATGACTTAGCACCCCATCTACAGATTCCCTTGACTACGGTGCACAAACCCTTTTCAGTCTTAGCTGTTGATAACTCTCCCTTGTCCATGGGTCTGGTCACCTTGTGCACTGTACCTATTACTCTGACTATTGAGGAATTTCATAGGGAGATAATCAGTTTCATAACCAGGGGCAGACTGACAACTCATGGGGCCCCCGGGCAATTGGGGATCATGGGGCCCCTGTGTCCTTGCCCAAACTCAAAAAAGCCTATGAAAAAGGTACCAGGGGCATCTCATGGGGCCCCCACTGACCCCCTGGGCAATAGGAGATCATGGGACCCCTGTGTCCTTGCCCAAACCCAAAAAGCCTATAAAAAAGGTACCAGGGGCATCTCATGGGGCCCCCTACTGACCCCGGACCCTCGGGCAATGCCCGAGTTTTCAAATGGTCAGTCCGCCCCTGTTCATAACCCACATGTAGATTGGTCTAAGATCTAAGATTAGATCCTGGTTCCTGACCTGCTTGCACAACTGCTTTAAAACCGCTGACCAGTTGCCTCTTTGTGACTCTTTTGTAGCCAATACCAGCCACTTATAAATCTCCTAAATATATTTAACACACCTATCTTCAAATAAAGTTCCTATATAAATAATTCATACCAATAATAATAAAAAATAAATTCATATAATTTCGGAAATGACAGGGACAATCCAATAAAGTGCCAAAACAAACATAAATCGTAACAATAATTAATTACAACAAATACAAATTTATGCATGGAGAATACAAATACATATGTACACTATATTGCCAAAAAGTATTGGGACACTCCTCCAAATCATTGGAGTCAGGTGTTCCAATCACCTCCATGGACACAGGTGTATAAAATCAAGCACCTAGGCATGCAGACTACTTCTACAAACATTTGTGAAAGAATGGGTCGCTCTCAGGAGCTCAGTGATATCAAGAGTGGTACCGTGATAGGTTGCCACCTGTGCAATAAATCCATCTGTGAAATTTCCTTGTTACTAAATACTCCGCATTCAACTGTTAGTGGTATTATAACAATATGGAAGGAACTGGGAACAACAGCAACTCAGCCACCAAGTTGTAGGCTACGTAAAATGATAGTTATATGGGTCAGCACATGCTGAAGTTCACAGTGCACAGACATCACCAACTGTCTGCAGAGTCAATAGCTAAAGACCTCCAAACGTCATTTAGCCTCCAGATTAGCACAATAACAGTGTATAGAGAGATTGATGGAATGAGTTTCCATGGCCAAGTAGCTGCATCCAAGCCTTACATCACCAAGTGCAATACAAAGCGTCGGATGCAGTGGTGCAACTCTAGTGGACTATAGAGCAGTGGAGACAAGTTCTCTGGAGTGACAAATCACACTTCTCTGTCTGGCAATCTGGTGGATGTGTCTGGGTTTGGAGGTTGCCAGGAGAACATTAATGCCTGGCTGCATTGTGCCAAGTGTAAAGTTTGGTGGAGGGAGGAGTATGGTGTGGGGTTGTTTTTTTGGGGATGGCCTTGGCCCCTTAGTTCCAGTGAAGGGAATTCTTAAGGCGTCAGCATACCAAGACATTTTGGACAATTTCATGCTCCCAACATTGTGGGGACAGTTTGGGTATGGCTCCTTCCTGTTCCAACATGACTGCACACTAGTTCACAAAGCAAGGTCCATAAAGACATAGATGAGTGAGTTTGAGGTGGAGGAACTTGACTGGGCTGCACAGTGTCCTGACCTCAACCTGATAGATGAATTAGAGTGGAGACTGTGAGCCAGACCTTCTCCAACATCAGTGCCTGACCTCACAAATGTGCTCTTGGAAGAATGGTCAAACATTCCCTTTGACACACTCCTAAACCTTGTGGACAGCCTTCCCAGAAGAACTGAAGCTGCAAAGGGTGGGCCTACTCAATATTGATCCCTATAGACTGAGATGTTATTAAAGTTCATGTGCGTATAAAGGCAGGTGCCCCAATATCTCTGGCAATATAGTGTATATAGTCTTTATATTGTGCTTCAAATCTTCATCGCCATGCATGCCACCAGCAGAAATATAGGCCTCTTACCAGAAGCAAAGACCTTACAACCAAGGTCGGATTGCGCTTAGTGAAAAAAACAATTCAGGATGGATGGATCAGCACCTGTAATTTCAGAAGGCATCAACCTCTACTGCAGGTGCTCTGGGCCCCGCTCATAACCTCGCCGTCAGACATCAGCCAAGTTGGTATAAAAACAGTCACCAAATTCACATACAACAAGGAAGGGAATTGCTCATGGTACAGTATGCACAGTAAATTTACTAACAAAACTATTGCCCCAGTGACGACATCCTTTAGAATGAAATGCGTCAAATGCAGACTTAGCGGTGACGTTTACGCCCGCCAGGGTGTATACTGTTTTGCATTTTACATGCTTCCTGATTTTAAATGTTTCTGAGTATACTTCTTTGGTTTTATTGATAAATTTACTGTGCATACTGCACACTTTTTGGTGATTGGACTGCAAAAATATATATATGTATGTATTTGTATTCTCCATATATAGTTTTTTTTATTTGTTGTAATTTATTTATTATTATTGTTATGATTTATGTTTGTTTTGGCACTTTATTGGATTGTTCCTGTCTCTTTTGAAATATGATTTTTTTTTAATATTGGTATGAATTATTTATATAGGCACTTTATTAGAATATCATATATGATTTTTGAACAGAGCAACACATTTAGGAGATTTTATATTTGGTTTGTGTTGTGGTGGGAATACATAGTGAGTGCAGCTGTTGGATATTTCATATATTTGTTTTTACTTTCACTTGATGTCCATTGATGATTTTTTTTATACACATGGCGCAGTACAGAATATGAGTCATTTGTCTTTATTACAGTCCTAGTCGTATCCTGATCGTGACGACTTTTCTAAGTGTGTCTTTACTTTAACCGTTTCCCTTTATATGACTCTGCTGTAGCAGAAAACATGGACAAGTTTATTGAATCCTGTACAGGCAACCTCTCCAGCCAATTGCCACAGTCTGAATCTTTTCCTCCTAGAGGCTGAATTTACCCACCTTCTCACAGCTTTGAAACCTGTTTTGAGACTTCCTCTAAAGTTAAGCACTCTGGATTACCCCTACCTTTGCCTGCTCCTAAATGCCGTTGAAAACATAACCAGGCTAACCTATCCTCAAGTTCTGCTGCCTCTACATCTGCCGATGCGGTTCAGTCTGCTTCTGCACCAGTTATTTCTGTCCAGCCCATGGCAATTGAGCCTACTGCTTTTTCATATTTGGGACTTTCAGTGACCTGGCCTCACCCTACTGAAACTACATCTGCTCAAACCTGTCTAAGAAGTTCCATTCATTATTTGGATACACTGCCCCATTTGGCCAGGTTGGGCTCTTGACCTTTTATTCAAGCTACCTTGCATCCAGCCTGTGTTCCAGCTATCCAGCTTGACTCCAGTGACATTCCACCTGCTATCCAGCCTGATGTTACTGGCTCTCTGTCTACTGTCCAGTTTGGCGCCATAGACTTCCTGCCTGTTATTTAACCTGAAATTGCTGATCCCCTGACCATTTCCCAGTCTGATCGTCTGGTGCCTGATGTCCAGCATGCCTTTAAGGGTCCGGAGGCCCCTCCTCAGAGGGGGGGGCTAATGTCAGGATCATCTAGCACTCCTGATTCATCATAGTTGCTGGTCCTATACCAGCTTCCTGGTTTTAGCTATGATGGATCCTTGTATGTCTGTCCACCTACAAGGTGATTGGTATGGCCAGTCTCTGGGTGGAGACCAAACCTGATTTAAGCCAGCCAAGCCTGCAGTCTCATGCTTGTAATAGCGCTGGTTACATGTGTCCAAGCTCCCTGTTTGTCTGTCCTACTCCGCTGTCTGGATTCCCTCGATGATGACCTTCGATCAGATATCGACTATTCTCTGAACTCTGCTTGCCTTTTGACCTGAACTGTCATTGAACTACTCTGCCTGTCTGCTACCTTCAGCATGGAGGTCAGGCACTATAGCATTGTGTATTAGCCCTGGGGCAATTGAGTACTGAGGTCCGTGATGACGCTATGTGGGAGGGTGAAATGCATTGGTGCAACGTCCGGTTCCGACCCTGTATGTGTGACATCACTTCCGGTGTGGCATTCCACGGCCATCTTTAGTGTGGGCAAAGAGGTCTAATTTTACAATTTTGCCAGTTCTTCATTGTCAAAGCTGAGCAATTGTGTCTGCATAGCTGGAATTGTCAGAGGAGCTATTGGAACATGTTTGAGGAGTCCTGATTTATATACAAAAAGGCTTTTTATTCAGTTTGAAAATGTGAGTGCATTTGGAGCATCACTTGAGTATTAAATAGTTTTTAACAGTATCACGCTATTTTGGTATTTTTTTCTTTTACATTTTTTTTCTCATCCATCCATCCGTGAGAATGCATTCGGGGTAAATTAAGGAGGAATCATGAGCGAATGCTTGAGAGTAACAAGCTGGTCATAAAGTACCGCTATCCATCCATCCGTCCATCCAGGAGTGAGAGCTTGGAGGAAGATAAGGGTGGATCACCATCTTTGATGTGGGAGATCAAACTACCCTATGGAAATTGGGGCTTAATTACTTTATGTGAGTGTAAGGAAGGTGTTTTGTTAAATAACATATTTTTTATCGGTATATAGCAATATATCATTGGCATCTTTTTCTTTCATGTTTTTCACTATATGAGGAAATATCTGGGAAGGAGAGTCAGTGTGAGATCGCATAAAGAGTTATATCATCTCTGAGGACACACCCCACCTGCAGGCTTGCCTTTTTTGCATCTTAAAGCCATACCAGTTTGGGAATTCACAGCATTTGGTGAGTGTGGATCTGTATAATGCTTTGCACAGAAGATATGAGCAAGCTGGAAAATTTATAAAGTTTTGAGTAAATATTTTTTTTCAAATTTTTTGGGACATTGAACTTTAATTTGGGACTTTAATACATACCAAACCCTTTGAATCTGGCATAATTTTTAAGGCAGCACCTCATACAAAAAAAATGCATGAGGCCCTCCAGAAAATTTATGTCAGACCCTTGGGATCTGGTATGGGTTGTAAAAAAAAAAACAAAGTGTGAGGCCCCCCCCTAAAAATACATGCCATACCCTTAATTATAGCATGCAGTCTGGCTGGGCAGGAAAAGGGGGATGAGCACACAGCCTTCCTGAATCTTATCAAGCCACATGCCCTCAACATGGGGAGGTGCCTGGAAAAGCACCTTGTCCCCATATTGATGAGGACAATGGCCTCTTCCCTACAACTCCTGCCTGGTGGTTGTGGGTGTCAGTGGGCATGGTATTTATCAGAATCTAGAAGCCCCCATGTGAATAAGTAAGGGGTAAATAGTACCCCTACTCATTCACAAAAAAAAAAGTTGTAACCTCAAAATGAAGATACATTTGACAAGTCTATTAATTAAAAAAAAATAAAAATCCCCAAAAATGTCTCACACAAGACTGTAAGCAGTAAGCGGTAACACTAGCCAGATGATAGCTGTCATCAGTTATATAATGGAGGGGGGTGGGATAGTGGTGACATCATTGACCAGATCTGCAGTGATGTCATTACTATGCCAACATCTTTGTTTAACCACTTGCCTACCAGGCACTTATACCCCCTTCCTTACCAGGCCAATTTTCAGCTTTCAGCGCTGCCGCACTTTGATTGACAATTGCGCGGTCATGCAACATTGTACCCATATGAAATTTTGATCATTTTTTTCTCACAAATAGAGCTTTCTTTTGGTGGTATTTAATCGCCACTGGGCGCTTTACTTTTTGTGCTATAAATTAAAAAAGTGCAAAAAATTTAAAAAAAAAAAAAAAAAGTTTCTTTGTTTCTATTATAAAATTTTTCAAACAGGTAATTTTTCTCCTTCACTGATGTGCGTTGATGAGGCAGCACTGATGGGCACTGATAGGCACGGCACTGATGGGCAGCACTAAAGGGCACTGATAGGCAGTACTAATGAGGTGGCACGGATAGGCGGCACCTATAGGCAGCACTAATGAGGTGTCACAGATAGGCGGGGGCACTAATATGCAGCACTGATAGGCGGCACTGATAGGTGACACTGATGATGGGTACTGATAGATGGCACTGACTGGCATCACTGCTGGGCACTGACTGGCACAACCGCTGGGCACTGACTGGTGGCACTGACTGGCAGCACTGCTGGGCTGCACTGGTGGGGGTGGCACTGGTGGGTGGGCACTGTGGGTGGGTGGGCACAGGTGGGTGGCACTGGTGTGGCACAGGTGTGAGACACTGCAGAGTGGCACAGGTGGGTGCAATGCTGGGCACAGGTGGGCGGAGCTAGTGGGCGCACTGCTGGGCACAGGTGGGCGGAACTTGTGGGTGGCACTGCTGGGCACCGATCATCAGGGCACTGATCATCAGTGCCCTGATGATCAGTGCCGATCCTCGCTCTGACAACTGCC